ATCGTGGAAAATTATGCTGCAAATATTTCATAAAATTATCGTAGACATTTATTCATACGTCGACGGTGTGTTACGGTATGACTCGGCGTAAGACTGTCAGTCATAAACGATTAGATAGCCGAGTTACAGAGAATACTGCGTGGTTAATATTGCCGAGATTATCGCTTGGTTTCAAATGCCTGCTCCGATATACTTAGCGATTCACTAAAGCCGGCATGCTAGATGCTTTATGACTATAAATTATATTATCCCGATGCTAAAAAACATAATTATTTCTCATGTGAAAAAATCTTTTCGTTCATAAATAACTTGAATCTTTTTTTTTTAAATAAATCGTACAAAATGCATTCGTAATTTTGCTCTCTCTTTCTCATTTATAATATTAATTAATTAATTAAAATTATCATCCTATTTTTAAAAACAGTACAAGTTTTGGAAAAATGATCGTTTTACTTGTGTCTTTAATTTTATTCCGAATTAATCTTCATGAATCTTTCTAATGATTCCCATCGAATATCGTTTGATATCGAAATTTTTGTAGATATATTCGTCGACGAATCGTGATAAGAGATACTCAAACAAATGAAAAAACTCCGATGCTTTTTTAAAAAATCTATTCATATTTGCGTGCCAACCTTCGCTTATGCTCGTTTTGTTTCACGACACTGATAACAGGCGTTGGTGACAATGCCGCGGAGATTATCGTCGAAAGAGATACGGAACCCTTTCCTTCGACGAAGTCGTAGCCCAGTCATACGATTATCTGATAAATTTGCGAACGGACGTGCGCGGTAGAGGAGAGGAAAAAACTGAGAACATTATAAGTAATTTAGCGATACTAAGACTGATAATTACCTTATGACAAGAGTGTTAATGAATTATATTATTATTTTATGTGTAGTCACGTGATTATATATATAAAAGAATTCTAAATAGATCAGACATCGTTCCTAAATATATCTCGATACAATGATAACACAGGCCGACAACAAAAAATTTTTGTCAAGTAACTTTAATCAGAGTAGGTGTTTCTTATAGATTTTTAACCACAAAAAACAATGCCGTCCAAATTGCTCTATTATGTCAGGTTTTAAAGTTATTTTTAATTTTAAGATGAGAAATCAGCGATTTCTCATCTCAAAATTAAAAATAACTTTAAAACCTGAAAAATAACTTTTAAAAAAAAATTTTTTTTTGTCGGCCTGTGTAATTAATAGAAAATTTGTTTGAGATATTAGAACTTAATACAAAGTCTCCACAATGTTGTATTCAACTTAATGTTAAATATGCAATAAATAAGAAATGTCGACCGACATTGAATTAAATTATACATAACATATGACGATACAATTATGAAATTCTCGTCTATGTCAGCGAAATAGGAATAAATCAAACATTACTCGAGCGAATAATTAAGGTCGCACGTCGGAGATTACGAAGTAGCGTTTAAGTAACTCGCTTATCGATATAAGCGTACGTGCCGTACGCGAGGATGCGAAACTCGGCAAACAAACGCGCGCGCGGGCGCGCGCGCACACACTTGCGGCTTTTGTTTTCGAAAAGCCGAATAGATCGCGGACACAATCGAGGTCCGTTTATAATTCTCTTGCTACGTTCCAACATTTACTCCTAAATACATGCGTATAATATCCAAATTTTATTCATTTAAGTCACGAACTTCCGAGCTCTGCACTGTCGTCAGAAATATATATAATCGTTTTTTAATAAAATTATTATTATATATATATATATTTTTCGCGATGAGTAAATTATTATTTTCAAGTGCTAGACAGATGTGTTTCTTTATAACGTATTTTTTTCTTAAAAAGAAACGAATATACATATATCACCAGGACTGAGACCGGATAATCGTGAATAATACTTATTAGATAGTACATAATAAATATTCATCTCACACGTTTGGCTGTGACAATAGCACTACTCGGTATCACCGTCAGGATGATTCGCATTATATTGCTCTATTTATCTACTTGATACTCCGAGTATATTGATAGCGCGTACAAACAACAATTAATACCTAAAAGTTGATAACGCTATACAAAAAAAAAAAAAAAAAAAAAAAAAAAAAAAAAAAAAAAAAAAAAATTTGTTTGAGATATTAGAACTTAATACAAAGTCTCCACAATGTTGTATTCAACTTAATGTTAAATATGCAATAAATAAGGAAAGTCGACCGACATTGAATTAAATTATACATAACATATGACGATACAATTATGAAATTCTCGTCTATGTCAGCGAAATAGGAATAAATCAAACATTACTCGAGCGAATAATTAAGGTCGCACGTCGGAGATTACGAAGTAGCGTTTAAGTAACTCGCTTATCGATATAAGCGTACGTGCCGTACGCGAGGATGCGAAACTCGGCAAACAAACGCGCGCGCACACACTTGCGGCTTTTGTTTTCGAAAAGCCGAATAGATCGCGGACACAATCGAGGTCCGTTTATAATTCTCTTGCTACGTTCCAACATTTACTCCTAAATACATGCGTATAATATCCAAATTTTATTCATTTAAGTCACGAACTTCCGAGCTCTGCACTGTCGTCAGAAATATATATAATCGTTTTTTAATAAAATTATT